CTCTGAGGTTTAGTAATCCCTGTCAGCAACCAGAATAAATGGAAGTAGCTTCCAGAAGATGCAGAGCCTGTGAAAAGACTGTTAGTTTTCAAGAACTACTGGCGTTCAAACTCGCACGTGCAGCATCTGAAACAAAAACTCGTGAACATTGTTTTGTCGTAATCATTTCTGAAAGTCAAATGCATGAAGTGTGCTTAAGAAAAGAGATGAAAGAGAAGTTGGATTGAGCACTATCAGTTTGATACTGTCCCTGCCAAAACAAAGATTTGGAGCATTGTCAGGCTTGTTGACAGCAGATGGTTTTGATGTTTAACCTCGTAATATTCCTGGACACCAAATTTGCTAGCAGAGAATAGCAAGGTTCCACATGAAAGTAAGCACACCTACTTACAGAGTGCGCAAGCCACAAGTGAAAGGTTTTTTAATGCACAGCTGGATTCGGGGGGGGTTGGAAATCACTAAAATTAGATATTTTGTATGCACAACATCATGCTGCATGGGATGAAGGTGCACCAGAGTTACTGAGCACCTGAAGCTCTAACTGCCAGCAGGTCAGGCCACGCAGCCGGGGAAGGGCATCTTTTACTCTGCACTTGCCCTGCTCTTCATCCCCTTCCCTTACACAACCCACAGTGACCTTTAGCAGGGTACTAATCTAGCTGGAGCTTTGATCTGATCTAGTACAGCTGAACTGATTTTCTTGTGCTGCTGTAAATTACTAACATATTTAACTACTGTAAATCCATTAAAGATATGTTACCCAATAGGGTCAATTTAAATGATTAAAACACTTTCAGAAATACTTAGGCTACTGATGTTTATACAGAGATAACACCACCATAATAAATACTACTGTCTTTACTCAGGCCTGCATATTCTCTGTAGTGTTCCACTCTCGTATTTATATGTTCATTTTTTCCTGTGTTTTTAAAATGCTTGTCACCACCTAGCTGAAGTTCTGTTTAAATGATCAAAGGCTTTAACAAAACTGTCCTTTAATATCATGCTGCTCTCATACCATAAGGTAACAGAAAATCAAGTCAGTTCCATCGCTAGATTTCCACAAGCAAGCTCCTTGCTCCCAAAGCATTAACAGGCTTCAGCAGAGTTGCCGAGTACAGTATTCATTACTGTGTATAACCACTGCATCCAGCTGCAGTTGCAACCTGAAGCTGCGCTGCCATTACGCTTGTGCATTGCTAGCCTATGCTGAAGCATTTACTGTTTCATCTTTACCTCTTGATTAGATTAAATGAGGGCATAACTGTAACCCTACCCAAGCCTATTTATTCTATTTTTAACCTTGCAGACACTTGCAGAAAGACGTAAGGTGGAGGCAGAAACAAGCAGTGCTTAACTAAAAGAAAGATAGGAGACATACTAAGAAATGCTATAGGTTAATCTGTTTCCTAAAATCTTTCCTGATCCGAGCCCCAGGAAGCTACCACTGCTTACTCCAATAGATCTCATCTCTAACTGTGTGCTATGCTCTCTGACTGCACTACTGGCATCACTTCATCTGTTACCATCTTCTGTGGTCTCCTTTCTGATCAGTCTTCATTCTTTACCAAGGTAATCACAAACATCATGCAGACCACTCAGCATCACAAAAAAACTAACGCTTCATCCTATTTTCAGTATACCTCACCTGTAAGAAAATCAGTAGCTGAAATACCTTGCCTCCTTTGCATGTTTAGTGTTACTCTTTTCCTGAAGTAGAGCCTGGTTTTTTCCCCACTACATTTTGAATTTGTCTTTGAAATAATATGGAAACTTCCCAAGCTGCAGGTGCTCTAGAAGCTGAATTGCAGAGGGCTTGCATGATACAAAGCATTAATTTCTTTTCCTGAGGCTTGGTCTCCTCCAGGCTGCAAGAATATCATCTGCTCATAAGATGACAGAGAGGAATCTCTTTGCAAAATGAAACTAGTTATTAATATCACAACCAAAAAATGGAAGCATGCTGAGACAGAAATAGAAGGGCCTTCTGCTGCCGTGCCTCACCTCCTCAAACTGCTTATTCTTGAGCTTAGCCGTCACTGCTGCCTTTGCCCACCAGCTGCTATACAAGAAGTGCTCTTTGAAGCCATTTATCAGCACTGACTCTCAGCTGATCGGGGTGGGTGGGGAAGTTTGCAGTTTGCAGCAGCTGAGGAGGAATGGCTGCGTACCACCTGGGTGTAAGTCATTACCTCTGATTTGCAAACTGACCTTCCTCCCGTAAGAGCTGGGTGGAGACTGAGTCTGTTCTTATTAAGACCTGAAACAAACTTTAACTTCAAAGAGAACAGGATTGAGAATAATGCTTTTGGTCACTTACTTGCGTGCCTGTCTAACCCTTTTAGGACATTCTTTCAAATGGCTCTTGGAGAAGGAAAGACTGCTCTGTTTGCTTTTTGCTGGCAGTGGGCAGACTCTGCTGTTAGCATTAGGGTACGGAATCGTGCAGCAGTAACGACACTGCTCGGCAGGATGCTAGCGCCATTGCGCAGTACAAGTAGCGTGAAAGCCTTTGCTTTCATGAAAGCAGCAAATTATAATTGAATAGTGGGCATCTTTGCATCTTATCTTGTTTATTGGACTTTTTGAAGAACGATTTGACAAAACATTCCCTGTATGGTTGCTTTACAGGTCATTTGCAGTAAGAGTCAAATCACTGCAGTCTGCCTAATGGTGTCTGCAACACTGAAAGAATTTGCTCTTGTCACTGTACAGTTACTTTTTAATAACTGGATTCTCAGCCACACAACCTTCTCTGCTGTAGATTGTCCCCTCTGCTTCAGCTGTACCCTGTACAAGTAATTTGGCAGGGAGAGGCGAGTGCTGGCTAAAGCACAGAAAACTCCATGCTCAGTTCATTTGTCTTCTGCCCTTGCCTTCCTCCACTTACTATTCTGTTTAGATGATGGAGATACACCGGATGACAGCATCAAATTAGTCAAGTAAAACATTCAATTTTGAAAAATAAATAGTGATTCCTAGCCTAAGAAGCGGAGAAGAAAACTGGAGATGAGCCTTTCTGCAGGAAGGTGAAATGTTTTGCTCGCTGCACAGGCTGTCAGAACGTGAGACCTCCCACAGGCCACTCAGTCACGGACTTTGGGAAACTGCTGAGGTCTGGACACTCACAGGCTGAACACAAAGGACAATCTCTGGCCCGCTACCAAAGGATGAGAGTGAAATCCCAGCTGTCTTGGAGGTGGTAGGACTTCAAAGACTAGTTTTAAAAGCCGTCTGAACATGTAGAGATGTGACAACTGGATAATAAGAGAAGAGCTAGATAATGTGGTGCTAGCTTGTAGGCTAAATTGCAAGAGAGTGATTGGAGTCTTACAGAGCCATCAGATTGTACAGCCAGTGCACATAATTTACCTGGTACACTGGTTTGTAACCTGACAGAGGAGCGCCAAAGCATTTAAGGTCCCAAGTTTTGCCCTGTTCAGTCAGCTCACTTCCTTAACATCTGCTTTACTGCGAGAATGGCAGGAAGAAATCACTTCTTAAATCACAAAACCAAGTTAAATGACAAAGTAGTTATACTTGAAAGCATGTCTGGTACCCCTTCTTACAGGAAAAGTCCTGCGAGGGCTGTCAGCACCATTCTTCAGCAAGAGACTTGAACCTAAGCAGTACCTGCCAGCTGCTCAGAGCCCCTTCACGCTGGTCTGAAGCCCTGCCTCAGGACTGACCAAAAAATTAAACAGCATGTGCTACCACTGTACCATTCATTGCGGGTTTTTTATGGAAGTTTTCCTTTCATGTATAGACTAAACAGCACACTCTTTAAAATAACAGACTTGGTGGATTTGTGGCCTAAGGTCACGATCCCTGCAGGACTATGCTGAACACCTTTGCCTTGGTATCAGGCGTATTACATACCAGCAGTACTAGTATCAGCAGGGGATTTAAACCCCTAATCTTAGGTTTAGGTCAGATCTCTGTGTCTTGGAGTACTTCAGATCTTTAGTTATTAAAACATTTTATACCTTGTAGGAATATGGGTGTCTTAACGAGAGCAAGTACTGTAAAAATCAAGTTTCGTACTGTTTTTGTAGCAATTAGACCATTCAAGTACAACCATTTGCAGGCACCATAAAAATTCCTTCTGTATGCATCAGCTTTGGTATGTGAGGAACATGAAGAGCAGGAATTGCTTCTGAAGTGAACATGCTTCTCTTACTTGTGTACTCTGTATTTACACGCAAGCTGAGTATAAATATACTATGTGTACGCTGGAGTCTTACTGTATTCAGATATTTTAAAACGTCTTTAGATTGTTGCAAAACAGTGCTTCAAAGATATTTCTCAAAGGAAATTAATTCTGACTGTTTTTAAGAACTTTGCTTATGATGGTTTATTTTCGAGTATTTTTGACTGATTGATTTGAGCAAAGTGAGAATTTGTTTTCCACTCTTTATTCAGAACAACAAAATTGGTCATGACGTTTGGAGCATTCAGCATCCTGCAGTGGAAGACAAGAACTGTTGGTGGTTGGGGTGGCTCTCTCAAGAGCCTTTTAAAACCTTCCCTCCAACTTCTTCTTGATTATTGTCAGGCTGAACTGTAACATTTGAATTGTTACAATCCAAGCCCAGCAAACAAATACTCTGTTAGGCTTGCATGCATGTGTGGGTTTTTTTTAATGGCCGCTTCATAAACTGTTGAGTCAGGACTGTTGCTTAACATGTAAGTTTTATTATTTTCTTCCATCAGTCTATGTGCAAAGAGACGGAAATGTAGAAGAATGGTTAAATGATAAAAGTTAATCGTAAAATGCACCTGCCTGAGTGATGTTTAAAACCTTAATCGTTGCATGCTACAGATCCCTGAACACTGTAGAAAAGTAAATGTATTTTTATTACTTTGTATCCATCTTCTTCCTTCATTTAATACCAAAAATACCTATCAGTAGAGTAAACATATGTTTTAGACCAGGAGGGCCTATCTTTTGTTGTGTTTCCCTTTTGAAATACAAACATTTCTTAATTTTGTTCTTCTAGCTGTGTTTTGTGATGTTTTGGACGCCAAACGTGTCAGAGAAGATTTTAGTTGACATAATTGGAGTAGACTTCGCTTTTGCAGAGCTGTGTGTTGTTCCTTTGCGCATCTTCTCCTTCTTTCCAATTCCAGGTAAAAAACAAGAAAATAAAAACTCTGTAACTTCAAACTAGCTTTGAGGTGTGATCATAGTCTGGGGTGGCTGTACATACAAGAGTGGCTAAATGCATGCCTAGCAAAAGTAACACAGTTTTTATGGAAGTTGGTGTAGACCAAGACTATTTACATCAGTGGTCAAGATACCAACATTGCAGTAAGAGCAGTCTATCATCAGACAGATTTCTGACTATCAAAAGCCTGAATTCTGTCTATTGGAGCTGACCAAGAACCCACACGTGACATGCAGTAGCAATACATGCATGCCAAGACTGATATTAACTGTTTGGAACAGCATCTAGGACCAACTCCACAGTAACATCACCTCCATTAGTCTCCCCTTCTGCTGCCAGACTCAGTGGCACTTTCAGGCATCACCACAGCTTAAACAATATAGAATAAAAGTTAATGCCCATATTCAAGAGAGAGGCAAGCTTGACAGCAGTAATCAAAATGTTTCCCCTCAGAAAATTTCTAACTTATGTAATCAAATGCTACATCGTGTAGTGTTTTCTGCTTATGACAAAACAGTTTTTTAATAAATGTAAACTCCAAACGTAAGAATAGGCACATGTAGTATCATTTTTTGTGACTAGCTGTTACAGTATGTACCACACAGGAGCTAGAGGGAAAACTTGCCTTGGTATGATTTCTGTTTCGGGAGGGGATATTCTTTTAATGAAGAAAACAGAACAGACCATCTAATAAATTGGTTGTAAGAGAAGAGCTCTCAGGAAGGCTTGCTGTCTATAACTTCCACTTTGGTTTTTTGAAAATCAGTGTATTAAAGCAATTTGGACACAAGTTCAACTTCATTTCTAGTAGGGCTTCCCAGTGTGCAAGGTACCAGAAACAAGTTTCACCGTGGTTATTTCTGAACAGTGTTCTCTGTACGAAGAAGCTTCATATGAGATGACTGATATTTTTTTACTGCTCTCGCCTCCCTTTCTTCCCACCCCCTCTCCTTCCCCTGTTTATGAACAGTGACGGTCAGAGCGCACTTGACGGGTTGGCTGATGACTCTAAAGAAGACATTTGTGTTGGCACCCAGCTCAGTGCTGCGGATCATCGTCCTCATCACCAGTCTGATTGTGCTGCCTTACTTGGGGTAAACCATTCTCCTCTCCACAGAGCTGATGGGTTTGCTTTCCTTCTCACTTAGTAGCTGGATTTGGGTAGCTCAGAACATTTTCCCCAAATAGTAACTATAAAATAAAGCCTAAATAGTGTCAATATCTGGAAGAGAAACATTTATAAATTCACAAGTGTGACTTTGCTCCAGGCAGGCCTGATAGTGATGTCCCTTTTGAAAAAACAGGCAAATGTCAGAGGCAAACATGTATCCTACAGGGAATTTATTTCCATTCTATTAAATGCTCTGTTAAGAAAGCTAACAGGATATCTTGCTTATGAGTTAAGTAATCTGTTCGGCAGCACTCTGTACAAGACTTTAAATTCTTAGTCCGTAATTTGGTTCAGAATGTGTTTATTGTAAACACTGAAGCCATAAAAAACAAAAAAAAAAAAGCCATAAAAAACAAAAAAAAAAAGTCCTTTAAAATACCAGTTATTCTTTTTGCCAGTGTATTATGTCTTTGAAGGAAATATTTCTAACAACAGATGAGTGATTCTATATGGCAATGGAAATGCAATTATGAATCATACATTCTCACACAACCATGAATACTTTATTTTTGTGCCACCCACAGAGTTCACGGAGCCACTCTTGGAGTAGGATCCCTTTTAGCTGGTTTTGTGGGAGAATCCACCATGGTTGCAATAGCAGCCTGTTACGTCTATCGGAAACAGGTAAGAGTTAGGCTCTGCGGGATCTGGTGAAAGCAGCTGATGAATATAGTGGATTTTAGTTCAGATTAAGAGTACACTTTGTAAATGTAACTCGCCAGCATTCCCACTTACTGAATTAGGTTTGCTTCCCCACGCGATCTCAACAGTGGTGCAACTCAGGAATTCTTAGTGTGGAAAGAAAGCTAAAAGGTGCCCTCCAACTGCTCGTGGGCATTCAGGCCACGGGACCAGGCCATGGGACAAACTGGTCTCTGAAGTAAACCCCTTGCTCCTCAAAACGTGTGTATCATAGATGTCATGTCCTTGCCACCAGCTGTTTTTGCTACTACAGTACAACATAGCTTCTTTATGTAGACATAGGAGCTGCTCATCCAAGCTTATTATATGTATAGGTATGTGTATGTGTATACGTATGTATACTTTTATTTCTTTATAAAACCAGCTCTGCTGAAAGTGGACAAAAAGTAGAGTTGGTGGGGTTTTTTTTGCCATCTAAAGAAGTGGCTTAAAACACGATATACTCCTACAGCAGCAGAGGATAAGAGCTTGCAAATTCTTAAACAGGCGAGGATTTCTCATAGGCGTACTTGTACGTATTTCACACACTACAGTCCTGCCTGTACGGAGTAGTAGTGGTACACAGATTTCAAAAAATATTCCACTAAATGAAGTCAAACACAGGATACGTACTGGCTGGGTGACTGGGTGCATCGCAGTACCTGCGCGTTGTGCCCGTCCAGTTGTGTGTCCGAAGCGCTGTGTGGGCACCAGGCCCAGCTCCAAGCAGAAATGGCGTGGTGCGTACATCATTCCATGGTGCGGAAGGACTAAGTGGATCACAGAATCACAGAATGGTACGGGTTGGAAGGGACCTCTGGGGATCATCTAGTCCAACCCCCCTGCCACAGCAGTTCTCGGTTATTTGTGAGACTACAGTAATACACTCAGACATCTCTAGCAGACCAGCTGAGCAACTGGTTCAGTGGCTGGCTTCACCCATTTTCCTCAAAGTTCAAAAGGGCATGATTTCTTCTGAAAATCAGAAATTGCCATGGGAGCAGAAAATATAATCTGTGCATTTACTTGGCTTTTTTAATTAGACTTCTTACTAAAAGCCAAGCGAAGATGCCCACCACTTCTATTTTTATCAAAAAAATACGGAAGATAGAATACGTAAAAGCCTTACACTGGAACAAACTAGAATCAGTTTTGATATGTATTAACAGTATGGCAGTAGATGAAAGTGTACAAGGTTCATAACAAAACAGAAGACCTTGTTCTCTGTCGTCAGTCTGTCATGTTTCTCTTGAGCACCAAAGAAAAGGTCTTTGCTTTTTTTTTTTTTCCTTTCAATTGAATTTATTTTCTCACTCCATGCAAACATAAAAGATACAATTGCATCACTGTAGAGTCTTCCTGACTTATGCATCCACCTTCTCTGGACAATCTGCATTTGTCAACAAAACAAAAAACCTGCAGACACTGAAGTGGCTGTTCTTGGCCTGCGGTTTCACAGCACGTATCTGCACTAACCTCCTCATCGTGTGCTTGTAGCTCACAGAGCGTTTCTGGCCAGGGACACAGTGCCCGGATTTTTGCAGCGATGAGCGCAGGTAGTAGCAATAATAACTGTGCCAACCTAATGTATTCCCTCACCAGAACGTGACAGTGGCTGAGCCAGCCGGTAGCTGTAGACGCAAACTTGTTTTCACCTGCAGTGGCAATAAGCAGGCGGTGTTTGAGAGCTGCAAAGCGAGAGTTGTGTAGACACCTCTGAAATTTTGAAACTGATATCCCTGACTCAGCCAAATCAATAATACCTGTGGGGGATTTTTTGTCAGCTGCACAAGTGTTTTCTGTAAAACTCGTCAGCCTGCTGAGAAACGGATAATGAGGAACAGATGCTGCAACTTGTTTTGTAGTGGGGCTGAATGCTTCTTAGCTGTACTAATCCAGGACATCCTGGATGAATCATAGGACTCTTGAATGCCCTCCTGCTTCTGCTAGCCAAAAATACTCCCATATTCCTTGGCCTTGGTGGGGTGGGGGCTCACAGTGGATCGGCAATATCAAGAAAAGCCAGAATGGTCGCATCTTGTAAAACTGCTGAAGTTTGACATTTGAGAAATTAGGTTGCCACCTCTGTCTCCCTGCCTAGAGCAATTTATCTTCTCTCATATTTTGTTTATTTTTCTGGGTTTTTTTTAACAAGAAGTCTGTGATGTAAAAGATTCCAGATGCTCTCTTCCCTCCAGCCATGCTGAAGCCTGTTTTGGATGTTGCTTAGCATGAGAAATGCCTCTGTTATTGCATTTACGTTAGAAAGGAGAAAGCTGAGCCCCAGGAAGGTTACGGAAACCTTCAAAGTTAAGACAACTTATTAGTGACAAGCCATGAATATGACACAAATATTCTAGCTCTTAAGAACAAGCTAAAAAAACCCAAAACTGTTTGCACCTCGCTTCTCCCAGTGCCCAAAGTTTATAGGACTGTGTTCGTGCACAGCTTGCTGATAGGTTTCCAAATGCTTGTTTCAATCTAGAAAAAGAAGCGGAATGAGAATGAAGCAGCTACAGAAGGTGAAGACTCCGCCATGACCGACATGCCTCACACAGAGGAGATGACAGACATCGTAGAAATGAGAGAAGAGAATGAATAATAAACGGGATGCAATTGTTCTCTGCAGGGACGATTGGAGTGACACTTCCGCATCTTGTCGTCTCTCATACTTTTTTGTTTGTTCATTTTTATTTTTGTAATAAAGAGGCCTTGATTTAAAAGGTTTCAGATAAATTCTCTAGCATACTGAGTATGCTCTCACTGATGAGGGACCTAAAAAGAGGTCTTTGCTTTTTTTTTTTTTCCTTTCAATTGAATTTGTTTTCTCACTCCATGCAAACATAAAAGATACAATTGCATCACTGTAGAGTCTTCCTGACTTATGCATCCACCTTCTCTGGACAATCTGCATTTGTCAACCAAAGCCCTGCTCTCAGCGCGTGTGTGTGTGTGTGTGTGCGTGCACTTGCACACTCGCACCTGCACACGCACGCGTGCCACTGGCTCAATGCTACTGCCATAATCCTACTCCCCTCCCTCTTCCCTTTTCCTTCCTTTTCTTTATGAGAAATGTTAAGGAAAAGAAGTTTGGAATACAGAGCTTTATTTTACTTGCTTGAAAATTACTTTGCTACATAAACTAATATACTATGGTGAACTATATCTTTTTGTTTGGCCTCATCACTAGAGCTTACACTGCACAGGGTACAGAACAGGGAGGAACGTGTAAGTCTCCACATACAAAGTGGAGAAAAACAGGTTCCTCTCTCCTGTTAAAAGTGTGTGGATGTGTATATACACACACAGGTACATCAACAGAGACATATATATATATACCTTTATATATATATACAGAAGATAAATAAAATACACATGGGACAAGAACTCTACGTAGCATTCATTCTGTCAGAAAGGTAGTAATCTTTTGAAAAATGTAAACATTTAATTCAGAATTTTCTTGAGTCGTTAAACCCCACCTTACGTATAATTTTCTTTAGGAAAGAAAAAACATGCGCTTTCCTCTTGTGAAGAGGGTGATGGCAACTGATAGACTTTGACTGTATTTGAACAAAAAAAAAATAAATATTGACAAGCTTTACCAAAGTTCTTGTCCACTGATTTAACTTTAATTTTTAAAGGTTGATTTGCTCTATGTACTTATTTCTGGTGCCTATATATCAAAAAAAAAAATCAGATAACGTGTGCAGGATACCATGGTATATCTCATTACTACGCATAGCTCCATGAAATTTTTTACATAGAGATGTACACATACTCACACAGGTGTGTATATGTATATATACTTATATACACACACACACGCACATGTCTGTGTGTTTTGCTATATTTACCTACGCAGTCGATCAAAAATCCATACGGTGAAGCTCAAGTACGGACGGTCCTCCGGGTCGTTAATTAGGGCCCCCGGTCGTGCGTTAGCTCTCAAGGCAGGAGTGGCGTGGAAGTGGGGGGCGGCTCACCTCCGTCAGCGGGTGCCGCACTCGGGAGGCGGCGGCCGGCGCGGTCTGGTTGTGGTTGAAGTGGGCCTTAAATAACAGAGGGTGAGGTGGGGCAGGCGACGGGGATCGGGCAGAAAAGC